CTAAACCCTAAACCCTAAGACCTCAAGCCCCTGTGACTTGAAGCCTACTCTCCGACAAGCCCCCCCCAGGCTCCAAATCTGCAATCTCCGCAAAGGGGATGGGATTTAGCGACTTAAGAACAGGTTTAGGGGTTTAGGGGTTTAGGGATTAGGGTTTAGGGTGAAAGTCGAAGTCCAGGGTTCTGGCGCCTTGGGGGTTGTCGGTTTTGGATCTAGGGCTCATGGTTGTAGGATTTCGGGGCGTGCGGCTTAGGATGCGTTTTCTTCGAAGCTTATACCCGTCTGGCAAGGGTTGGGGGTTTTGTAGGTTTGCGGGTTGGGTACAGTGGGGTTCCTCACTTAGGAGCCCTTGTCATACGGATCGTCTGATGTTGTAGTGTGAAACTCCCACATCTTAAAGCCTATAAAAGCCTAGCTCCAAGGTTGAGAAGTCCTTCTGTCTAAACTTGCCACGTTCTGGATTTACGGCTCAGCCTTTACAGCATCTACGATGTCGGGCTCAGGCATGTAGGACATGTAGGATTGAGGGTGTCGGCTTCAGGGCTTAGGGCTAATGTGCCTGATCCAAAGGACCCGGCCTTCCTCTAGGAAGGCCGTAAGACAAAAAAAGGATCTGATATCTTCAAGCTTAGCTATGTAAACAAAGAGAAACTATCTATAACCATGGTACACCCTAAACCGTAAACCCAAAGCCACTACATACGAGATGTGTAGTAGATTGCTTGTCTGAGGACATCAAATGATTAAACCAGGCTTCTGGCGATGTGAGATCACAAATGAACAAGGTTGAGGGTTTAGGGGTTTAGGGATTTCGGGGTTGAGGGATTTCGGTGTTTTGGGGCTCGGGGGGTTTGGGGGTCTACCCTTTTTGTCCAGGCTCCTGTGTACGATGCAACAGCCAGGGACCCCCAAACCCCCCGCTCCCAAGCCCGACCAAAATGATTGTTACTACACTTATTCTCTCTATTGCTATTACTATTATTCTTACTCCTTTTTTTGCTAGTCTTATTCTTCTTTTTATTCTTCTTGTTACTATTGTTACTAAATCCTACAGTACCAGCATGGGGCCGAGGCGCTGCAAGGGGAGGTTCTCCCGACCCTTTCCTTGTCATGGCGGGCTCAATTCAAGGGTATTTGGCGTTCAGGAAAACCCTAAACCCTAAAACCCCAAAAAAACCAAAACCCTAAACCCAAAACCAAAAAACCTTAAAAGAAAAACAACACCCCAAAAACACCCAAACCCTAACCCCTAACGTCGTTGTGCTGCTAGGGGGGTTTGGGGTTCACGGCTGTGGGAATCCTGGCGGCTTTCCGGTTGCTCTTTTTCTGATTTTCTGATTTTAGGGTTTAGCGTTTAGGGTTTAGGGTTTAGGGTAATTTCTCATACCGGCACACAACATCGAGGCGTCCGCAAAAACTTAGTTCCAGTGCTTCTGAGCCGCGTCACTGCCGTCGCAGCAGTCACAGATGCCGTCTCGAATGCCTGCGGCGCTGCTACAGCACGTAGATATCCTAAGCCCTAAACCCTGAGCCCTAAACCCGGGACCTACACCCCCCAAACCCCTAAACCCCTAAACCCCTACACCCTAAGCCCTAAACCCTGCTACATGATGGCGACTCCACGGAGCCCGACACAGGAGAACTTTCGGGCCTGGGGTTTTGGGTTCAGGGTTTATGGCTCAGGGTTTAGGGCTCAGGGTAGGGACTTCCGGGTTCCGTACTTACGGTCCGAGCAGTTTGGAAGAAAGGGCGGGGAGCGTGTGGCCAGGTGAACCTCTCCTGTATCTGCCGAATTCTGGAGCCAAGCTGCGCGACGTGTAGAGCAGCTTAGGAATCCCATCTGCATTCCTGGTAGGGCACGTGGCACAGTAGGGTTTAGGGGATTTGCGCAACACGGTGGAGCTGGCGGTGTCTGTTATTGCATGCCTTCGTTGGCACTTGCCCAGGAGCCATATCAGTCTATAACTGTATGATGCTGTTTTTCAGTGGTAATGTGGTCGCTCAGTTCTTTTTGCGCCTGAGTCCCCAATCCCTAAAACCGAAACTAGATCCCAAAACATCAAACTCACGCTTGCTGGTTGGGGTCGGAGGTCTTGTGTAAAGTAGGTGTTATATATGTATATATATATATATATATGTGTATATATATATATATGTGTATATATATATATATGTGTATATATATATATATATATCATGAGGGGGTGT